AGTTTTACAATCCATATTAATACCGATTTAATACTTGTCATAACGACCGGGCATCAACTTTCAATGTAGGGCGATATCTGCTTGATCCAAGGCTATATCCGACTGCTTTCTGGGGACAAGAAGGAATTTTTCCCTAGCTTGTTGCAAATTGGAAAGCGCATCAAACTGGGTTTTTTTGCCTTCTTTTGGATCAACCGTTTAATCACAGATGTGAGGTAGGCCGGAATTGGGGGACGCTAGTCTTTATCAGCAAGGTAACTATGTAGTCAAGTTGTCAAGCCGCTATACAGTTTCTTGTGGTCCCAAATATTTCCCACAGTCACCACGTCATCTTGCAGCATTGTCTCAGGAAATCTCACCTACTCATGCAGTCTATTGATTACCTTCTCTACCCCACACTTAGTCTACACTAGATGGCCAACATGTTTTATATTCCTTACTTCCCTTTGCAGAAGTTAGAGGGCCGTTCAAAGCGCCGGGCACCTAATTACTCGCTCAGCTGTTACCATAAGGCTAGGCTATTTAAGGTTGTTGATTGCTTTTAAAACAGGTATCCTTTTTGCCCTCTTTTATTACAGGCCTACTACGACGTCGGTTCCGACACACCACAACCGACTTATTCCCTTTACGGCCTTATTTGCCCCTCACACAAATGTGAAGGCTTGGCCTACAGTTGTGGGAGGGGCATGTTAACCTACTTAAACCCCATCCTCACCTTCCTCAGTCCTGTTCGTTTTTTAGCGATTTACATGTCCCCACCCTCCACTCTCTTTATTTATACTTTTTATTACACCTCATGGGTGGGCCCTCTTTTATTACAGGCCTACCACAACGTCGGTTCCGGCACACCACAACCGACTTATTCCCCCCTTTTTTTATTTCCTTTACGGCCTTATTTGCCCCTCACACAAATACCGGTATATCTATTATTATACTTCAAAACAACAAAAGGTATTACAGCACAGCAATGCAGGAGGAATTTCTGACAGGATTATTCACTAAACACCAAATTATTAGTTAAAGAAACATTATAGTGTCAGGAATACAAAGTGTATTCCTGACACTATAGTTGTAAAAACAAAGTGTAGTTGCCCCGCCCCATGACAAAAAACTAAAAGGTTGGTTTTACTCACCTTATTTCCATTACCACGCAGGTCTCCATTCTGCTTCCTTTCCAAAAATCATGAAAATTGATGATCTCAGCCAATCCAATGCTTTCCCATGGGAAAGCATTGGGAGGCTATTGCGCATGAGTGGAAAAACACTGTGCCAATCAGCATCTCCTTATAGAGATGCATTGAATCAATGCTTCTATATGAAGAGCGTTCAGCGTCTCCATGCGCTGAATGTCAGTGCTGCACACCCAGGAAGCATCTCTAGTGGCCCTCTGAGTGACTGCCACTGGAGATGTTCCTAGGCAGTAATGTCAACACTGCTCTGAAATGGCAGTGTTTACATTAAAAAACCTACAGGGGCAGGTTGCACACACCTTAACAACTTAATAAAGCTGTAGTTTTTCTTATAACTAAGGTGTCCCTTTAATTAAATCTGAATGCAACATGTAGACTACAATAGCCAAGCTTTAAGTAGAACTGAATTGGTGAATCTATCCAAATCAGCTATTTTAGCCTACATTTTTCAATTCATATTTACATTTGCTAAAATTCAACTAGTTATACGTAGAACTCCATTGTAAGAAAATATAAATATGAATTTAAATTTCAACACTACAATAAATAAATAATATTAGCACACCCAAAATCTGAAATTATTTTTGGGTGCAAAAACATAACCAGCATCTTTTAATATTCAAATGTATAAATAAAGGATCCCACAGCAAAAGCAAAATGCTAAATTATCATTAGCTCTGGTTTATACAAATAACAAAGACACATCTATAAATAGGAATGGGTGGATTAGGTTCGCAGGTAGGTGAACTACAGAAACAAATTCAAACGATTAAAGGCTTA